CCCCCCCGCAGTTCAGTCCTTCCAAACGCCTCTGATTCCTAGAACACATCATCTGCTTTCATCATGTTCTGATTCCGGCCATGCTGCTCCTTCCCTCTCCTCTCTGCTATTGCAAACCTGTCCAACTGCCCATGTTTACAGATGAGCACTTGGAGGTGGAGAGAGGCTCGGTGTCACCCAGCAAGCGCAGGCAGGACCCGCTGGGAGCCAGAATCCACCCTGCTCCCTGCTCCTGGTCTTGCTGTTTACCACACGGTCATGGAGGCTGCGGAGGTCTCTGCTCCCTCTTGTCTGGCTGTCGCTCCCCTTCCTTCCCATCTGCCGCTCAGACACTTCACCCAAGACCTCCTGTCCCTCTCCCAGCTGGGAATCTGGGGCCTGCGGGGAGGGAGGAAGGGAAATGGGATCGAGCCCAAGGGTAACCCGACTCCTCCGAGTGGGCTTGTGCGCAGACACACCATGGGGGAGGAGGCTGGGACTCGGTTAAACTTGGTGAGGGTCTGGGGGCACCTGGAGGGAGGGAAGGAGCGGAGTGGAGTCCAAGTCCCCTCCTCTGCTGCCCCCTCCCTACACAGCTCCCTCGAAACTGGAGCCGGGGGCCCTAAAAATAGCCCCCGAGGAGCAATTGCCAGCAGGCCGCCCTGGTGACCTTCTGGGTAGCGCAGGCTGAAGGCGGGCGGGCAGCAGAAAGGCAGGGCGCCGGCCCCCCAGGACTCATCTTCCAGGCACCATCCCCCGGGCGCCCCCGTGGCCGTCGGTTCCAGCACCCCCCAGCCCAGCTCGCTGAGGCCATGCAGAAATCGCGGGGCCTGCGAGGCGAGGAGGCGGGCACCAGGGCACCCCCCAGCCCCGGGGTGCCTCCGAAGAGGGAGGCATGTGGATTTTGGGCTGGACCCCAGGTATGGGATGTGTAGGAATCAGCCGAGTGGTCTCTCTCTCTCTCTCTCTTCTCCCTTCCTCTCTCTCTAAAAAGAAAAAAAAATATTTAAAAAAGAATTTGGCAGCGGGCATTTAAAAATAATAAATAAATAAATAAATAAATAAAACATAAAAGTGGTTATGTCCTATCTTGATGTTTCTCAAAGTGTAACACTTATGCATCAGTCACCTGGGACACTAGTTAAATGTGCAGACCCCAGACCTTCCCAGCACCGCCTACTGAACCCGCATCTCTGGGGGTGGAGCTTGATTCTCTGTACTTTTCACAGGTGCCTATTTTGAGAACCACTGCTCTAACTGGCCTCCAACTCTCCCATCTCCAATCCACCCTCCACACTGTGGCTGCCAGAGGGATTCTTCTACAACACAGCTCTGACCATGTTATCCTGCTGCTTAGTACCCGGCAGTGGCACCCAACTGCCATCAGGAGACTGACTTTAGCAAGCAAAGCTCCCTGGGTCGGCCCCACTTCCCACCTCCACT